AGTCTGATGGATGACATACACGTCGGAGTTGCGGGCAACAAATCGGTGGACCGCGCAGCCCAGGAGCAGCCGAGAACAGGCTTCCAATACCAGAACCGGAGACCCTCAAGATCCTCATGGCGACAACAAAATCAGCTATCCGTGAGACCATGAAAGTTGAGTGAATGGCTTCCTGGGTGAAGGACCAACCACGCTAGAGAGATGCTCAGGCTTGGAGTTAAGCTCAGGACAGCAACACTTAGCCTCGACGGCGGAGCACTCGAAACGATCAGCTCCGCCATCACCCAGATGCGCATCGGTAGAATACGCTTGCGTGCATACCTCGCTAAAATCAGCAAAGCTGAGACGGATACATGCGAATGTGGCTATAGCACATAAACCGTGCAGCATAGTGGTTCCTAAGTGGGTGTGCTCCCAAGGGTTTGGCCGACCTTGGCTGTGATGGAGTGTAGGTGGTTGTTTAGTGCTAAAGGGATGCTGCTGTATCCGTAGATTACTCGCCTATATTAGGCAAGCGAAAACCATTTACGAAACTGGGATAGGCCTGGTCGGCTGCGGGGAGCTTTACAAGAGTCAGGTACTTGGGGGCGTGAAGTTTGATATGTCTTATTTCATGTATTACATGAATGCGCTGCTGTATTGCCGGAGTCTGCTGCGCCAGTTTCTGCTCCGTGGTGGTGTAGTCTTGAGTAGAGAGCCGCTACACATGGAGAAGCAGGCTAGTCATCTTGCTGTTGAAGTTGATGGACTCAATTTCATCGCCGTAGCTTCCACATTGACCACTGATTGAAAACCCCCATCTCATATAGGGTACTGCCGTAGCTCTCGCGGCGCAGCGCATTGACGTTTGTCATAGGTGCTTCACATTTCCCCACATTCTTGACCTCCACAGCGGTACCTGGTACGCGCCGCGTGTTACGAACGACGCGAAGTGACGCAAGGCGACCGGGGAAGTGGCCCAAGAGGACGACCTCATGGCGCCTGCGGGCTCCCCGATCGGGCCTTGTGGGCACGTGACCTCACTGGATCACTGGAGCGAGTGAGCCAGTGAGCCATGAAGGGATCACAGGAGCGAGTGAGCCAGTGATCCAGGGGAAGCAATAGAGAAGTAAACTATTATATAAAGGAAGGACCGCAGCTAGTCTAGATACTTTAGATCTTTATTGATCAATTTAAGCAATAGTTTCACTATTGAGAGTTCTACTCTTAACGAACGCCTACGATACTGCTCAACGTGCTACTCTGTAGCTTCAAGCCTGACTTACTCTCTAAGAAACAGATTTACTGTGATTTAGTAAATAAGCCATCGTTACACCGCGCTCCACGCCATCCAACACGTTTTATTCGTGTTTTCCACTACTATGCCTTTCCCGTAGCTGTAAAGTGGACGTTAACGTGCATATCAAACGCCAGCGCACGTCTGATTGCGATTCACCAGTTGAAACGCCATTGAGCATAGAGTCTTTGCCAGATGACTGGAGCGCCTTTCCATGGAATAAGTTTGCAGGTTTTACGATCTCTGAACGCGCCGGCAGGCAGACCTCGCGGATACGGTAGCATGGATTCGATACCCAGTCTTGCGAGTTCCCCTTGACTCGCAAATGGGTATGCAAATCTTGCTTTAGAAAGCTAAATCAAAATGCTCGAATTTTTCTGCCGTTGGCAGACGGAATATCGAGAAGCATCTATCCAGGGAGCATTGGCTAGTCAATGAGTCTGGAAGGAGTCCACCTGTGCTGGAGAGGGGTGGAAAGACAAAACCCATCACGAAATATTGCAGAAATGCTCAGCCTCAATGCTCATGACCCGAAAGAGTAAAATATTTGTGGTGTACAGAGCGAACCGATGGAGGCACAAAGGGAACAGAACACACGAGGCAGAATAGCTTCGTCAGAGGTTTGATGCGTATTGAGTGATGCAGAAGCTAAGATACAATATGGGCACGGAGGTTGACGGAGGGCAGGAAGTGCTGTGGAGCACGTGACCGTAGCCCAACACTATTGCCAAGCTCTTAGCACACGCTTGATAGGGATCGATTCCAAAAACTACTTCTCGAGTGGGTGGTCGACGACAACATTTCCTTCCGTCAGCCTGAGCACAGTCGTCTTAGTCGTCTTCGGCGTTGTACTTGAATATCGAAAACCATCCATTCTTGTGACAAACGCCCACATTTCTCACAGCACTGTCCGAAAGAGAATCATCGACCTGCATTGCCGACACAAGTCACATACTATCTATCACCTGAGGAACGTACCAGAGAAGATTCATATTGCATTCGAAAGCTAGCGCTCCAGAAATCGGCACGCTCTAAATGGTATAGTATGCTTTTACATGGATAATAACGGCGCACCGTCCACGCTGGTACTCGGCCTGCCGGAATTGAAAATGTCGAACTCTGACAAGAATATTGCGGCGCAGGTTCTCGAGATTCTAGAGGATTAGGAGATACTGGACAAATTGAGGCGCATCACACTTGATAACGCTGCCAATATGGACGCAGCAGCAGAGGAAATTGCGAACGCACGGGGACCGGATCCATCCAAACGAAGAATACGATGCTTTGGCCACGTGCTTTAGCTGGTGGTCAAAGCCCCATTGTTTGGAAAGAAGACTGAGGCTTTCGAGCTCGATGTGGATGGGGAACCGCGCTCAAAACGAAGCCTGGCGCAAGAAAGGATCGACAAGCTCCACAACCTGTTCACTGGATTCACAGGTCCAACAAGCTTACGTAACGTCCTCGAGCTCTGCAGGAGGAGTTCTTCCAGCAGTCTAACAGCCTTGAAAATCGGACCGGGAAGCCGCTAGACGTTGTCCTGGACAACCACACTCGCTGGCTATCGTCACCGTACATGATTAGCCGAGGCCTTAAGCTACGACCGTTCCTCGACGATCTCGTTGAGAGGGGCACTATAAGCAGGGGAAGGCGAAACAGGGTTAGCAGGAAGGAAAAGATGCCTTTGTGTGTCCGGGAAGCAAATATATTGGGTGAGAACGACTGGAAAGTCTTGCAGCTGATGGACAGCGCTCTTGTTGACTTTGAGGAGGCCCCTCCAACTGCCGGAAGGGGACGGCCAAAAGCGGACGGGGAAAGGAGGACATATTGAGGCGTACGGTAACGCGTGGGACGTGGCCTCAACGTATGAATTCCTAATGGAAGGTTGGAAGAGTGGAAAGCAGCAGCAGAGAAGTACCCTGACCCAGAACATTTCAGGATTAACATCAACGTAGGCTGGGATAAATTGAATGAGTACTATTGTCAGGACACCCACAGGACACGCTGGTTAGTAGGAGGTTATAGGCAGCTATAGGGATCACGTGCGAAGAAGTCAATACATAGCGGCGAGCTGCCGACGAGAGAGTAGCGAGGAGGCAGCGATAATTTCACCATCATTCCTAAACCTAAGGATCATCTAGTGACTGAAGCTCTTCGCTGACAGCAACTCACAACTATGCAAAGCTAGATGAGACGCCGGTATACTATGCTTCGGCAATACTAAACCCTGCTTCACTTTGGGGATAATTCGAGAACACTTGGACAGATACAGCGCAATGACGCTGCCTGCAGGAAGTTAAAAGGATGGTACGGAAACTGTGGGAGGAGGAGTATAAGCCCTTGCCGACACGCGAGGTGGGGATGAAGGTCCGCCGTTCAAACGGCTGAAGGTCATGAGTGCGCTTGAGAGACATCGATCTTTCAGGACATTGACGCTGCCGTGCGGAATATCCGCCGGCAAAAGCCCGTTGTATGCGGAGCTCGACGAGTATGACCAATGGCTATTGAGTCCTGACCTTAAGCATGATCCCCTGGTGTCTGACCCAGTGCAGTATTGGTGGGAGAGGCGCCATGACTACTCTCGACTGTCTCGAATAAAGCTGGATCTATTGCCGATCCCAGCAATGTCTGCAGAGTGCGAACGACTTTTCAGTGCTACTGGGCAGATGGTGTCACCTTTTCGAACACGACTGGAAGCTAGTACAATAGGAATTACGCAGACGATAAGGTCTTGGCTGCGGAATGGGTTGATCGACAGTGCGGATTCGCTGGTTGATGTGTCGGGAGAAGTTAGGAACAGCATCATAGTAGAGGGAGGGGACGACATGGAGTAGCCTATATAGAGCGTTATCACGTGAGCCCTAATTCAACCATTTCAACTGAACGTCCATCAACTCAACTTGGGCTCAAGGTGGTTCAACTCCACGGGCGACATGCTGAGTAATCCGTCAACACAACTCAATCATGATACAAAATTGATGGAATTGAATTGATAGCCACCCTGCGCTGAACGCGACTTCCAACGCGTAGTAAGACAGGCAAAGAGGCGGTACTGGCGTACACTCATCGACGGGTTCACCTACAACGCTTCGCTACGCAAGGCTGTACGCTGGCTCAGCCAACTTCAAGCACCGCCACTGCAGGTAGGTGACGTCGTCAACGAATCTCAGCGGGACAAAGCCGACGCCCTACGTCGCGCGACCTTAGAACGCCGCGCCGCGTCAGACGACATCGCAGACCCCTGGATCCCCGTCACACCAACTCAATCTACCCCCTTCTCCAAGACAGTCACACTAGAGGAAGCACAGGATTGTACCATCCGGACAGGAATCACCTCACCTGGCGCTGATAACATACTGTCAGGCTGATACAGGCAATGTAGCACGCCATCGGGCCATATATCTGTAGACTCTACGAAGGTTGCCTTACCGTAGGTCATCACCCACTACCCTTCCGAGAAGCAGAAGTTGTCATGATCCCTAAACCTGGCCGGCGAGATCTGTCGACAGCCAGGGTTTGGAGACCCATTTCACTCCTGTCATGCCTCGGCAAGGGCCTTGAACGGCTTATTGCGCGGCGGCTGGCTTGGGCATCTGTCCATCATAGCGTCCTCCATCCATAACAAGCAGGAGCCCTACCCAAGAGATCGGCAGTGGACCTGGTTGCTGCACTAGTCCATGACATTGAGGAGGCATTTGCCCAAGGAAAAGTAGCCACACTGGTGACGATGGACATACAAGATGCTTTCGACACAGTCATGCGCAACAGGCTCATCTTGCGACTTCACCAGCAAGGTTGGCCGGAACACCTCGCAATGTGGGCCGGATCCTTCATGAAGGACAGGTCAGCCCGCGCACGATACCAAGACATCACTACACCTAGCTCACCACTGCAGTGTGGCCTTCCCCAAGGGTCACCGGCGTCGCCCGTTCTCTTCTTACTCTACCAGAGCCTATATACAAGCTACGAAATCAAAGCGGTCGATTCGGCCATGCGGATGACACTGCCATCCTATGCGCCTATGCGCAGGACGCTCGATAGAAAAAAATCTTCCGCAGCGTCCGCTTGCGTCGAAGAAATGCTACTGTGGGGAACTGACAATGGCGTCTCCTTCGACCCTGACAAGACAGAAGTCATGCACTTCTCAAAACGCCGCCTGACAGCACCTCCGCCAGTACAGCACGGAAATGCGGAAAAGTACCCTGACGTCGTCATGCGCTGGCTAGGGATCTGGCTAGACCGCAACCTCAGTTTCAAACCTTAAGGTCGAAAAATGGGCGGCCAATGCGCAAGCAGTGGCAAACCACCTTAGACGGCTTACCAACACACAACATGGCCCAGCGCCAAGCGCAGTACGAGCATCTGTCATGGCCTGCGTCGGACCTGTTCCGCTCCCTAGATGGTCAAGACCAGACCGCGCCATCGCAACCAGGATCCAACACCTACTTTAAAGAATGGCAAAAACCTTGAACAGTGCAATGAGAGCTATCCTGCCGGTATGGAAGACGACACCGGTTGCGATACTGCACCGAGAAAGTGGCGTACCTCCAATTAAACTGCTCCTAGAAGCGCGACAACTCAGGTTCGCCGCGCGTCTTAAGGCGCTCGATAAATCACTCCCGTTGGTACAACGCACGCCGCGGCTGCCCCATCGATCATTCAATACGTACGTCAAACGCAGATACCAGCAAGACCAGAGGCAATTCCCCACAAGACTGCGCAGAACCGATCAACTCCTCCCGCGATGCGACCGACCAGTGCTACTAGCACCGCGACTTGAACATCACAGGGGCAACCTACAAACTTCCTCAAAAGGAGAGTCAGCAGCCGAGTTTCGCCGTTGGCTCTGTTCTACACCCCCATCCACGCTAGTCGTCTACTCGGATGGCTCCCTGTCCGAGAGCAGATCAGCAGGCTATGGGTATACTGTCCATAGACAAAACTGCTCCATCAGAAGAGGCTTTGGCGCTTAGGACCTGCTGAAGTGTTCGACGCCGGGGCAGTCGGGGCCCTCGAAGGACTAAAGGCCGCCTTGAACATTGCCGAGGCGGCGACGCAGGAGATCATCGTCTGCTTGGACAATCTTGCAGCTGCGACCTGCCTGCACGGAACCGCATCAGACTCACCGCAAGCCGTATTTCTAGAATTCCAGGCCCTTGCTCACCCGTCAAAACCGGCCTACTTGCATCAGCGCACGGTACATTACAGGTACGCTGGATACCCGGCCATGCAAAGATACCAGGCAATGAGGAGGCCGACGCTTTGGCAAAATCAGGATTCTCTCTGCCAGCGCCTCCAGGCGCCACCCCTGCCTTGGCATTTTATGCAAGATCGCGAGACAGCGCCCCAAAGACGTGTTTGCCACCTGGTGGCGTGATTCTGTACCAGAACGGTACAGGCAGCTTAACCTTCAGGCATCGAACAAATGCCCGCCAGAGCTACGGCTCCCTAGGGCAGCTCTGCATAACCTGCTGGCAGCAAGATCACACCACGGTGGCTTTGCCGACTACCACGAGAGATTTACCACGATGACGCGCGGCTGACCTGCTCATGCGGGCGCCGGAAGACCCCAAGTCACATCTTCTTCTGTAGAAAGATACCACCACACAAACGGCTAAGACTGGGTCCATCGCCAAACGCGACAATACCACGTACGATAGGTCAGGACTTTGGCAAGTTCATGGACTTGACAGCCACATCTGGCTTCTTCGGCACAATCTGCCGACGCCACTAAACAAACACCCGGAACAGGCGCAGCAAAGTGCCTTCAAACACTCTCTTTTCTCTTCATTCTCTTCATTCTTTTCTTTCTTCTCTTTTTTTTCTCTCTTTCTCTTGGACCTAACCAGACATAGGATGTAGGAGCATCATATGACTGGCTGGCTTCACCCCCTTTTCCGGCCGCCTGTGTAGCCCCTGAAGAGGGTTCTCGCCTGGTCTCACTACAAAACCGACGACTCTTGCGACCTTTTCGCATCTCCAATAGCCCGCTGACAGGCGAGGGGTCCGAACGTGGGTGCCTTTGAGCTGATGCCATGCTGGATGGTGGTTTGTTTACGTTGGAGAGCGTGATGGGGTTGAGCTAACCCAGGCAGCCCCACCTCAGCTCTAACCTAACCAATCATATGTAACGTTGATATATCCATAGACAGACAACTAGCCCAGCACGTCCTATGCCTCTTATCAGGGACCTGAGCGGCCTGCGGCCACGAAAAATACCATACTACTACTAATATAATCCTAAGAAACAAACTTACTGTGACTTAGATTTAAGCCATCGTTACACTATGCTCTACGGATGATCGTGCCGCCGTTCCGATTAGCGTGACGAGGTGCGCCCAGAGGCGCGCCCACTCTCTCACCAGGGGCTTTCGTAACAGCTCCATGACGCGACTCTCCTCCTATAGCAGCAGCTGCGCGCTAATCGAGATGGAACTGTTTCCTCTCGCTTGGCAGTTTTTGCTGGGAGCAGCTTTCGTTAGCGGAGAGCTACTTGTGCTGTATTGCAGCTTTCGGGTGCTGTGAGGCTTGTTTAGCGCGTGTTTCCACGTAACAAAGGAAATAGTACAGAAGCGTTTACCAGCATTTAGCGCTACTTGGGCGATTTATCGACTCTTAAGAGCGCCTTCCGTTCCTTCGTATCGATTGTTGATCTTCGAATAGTAGAAGTCAGCGAGCTTTACGTAGGCTTGGAAGGATCTACCTGTTACGAACGAAGGAACAGAAGCGGGCGCAAGAACGGCCCAAGGCAGCGGTCATGCGGGCGCATACAGATTGCCCAATCAGGACAGTTAGTCACGTGACCGATCACCTCGCCCACTGGTGAGCGCGGTGAGCGGCGCGCACTGCGATCACTGGTGAGCGCAGTGAGCGAAGAACTACAATAGAGAGATAGAAAAGTACTTAAGGAGAGGGTACTCCCATAGCCAGATAGTCTAGATCTCTATTGATCAATCGAAGCAATAGTTTCACTATTGAGAGTTATACTCTAAACGACTACCTACGATACTACTCAACGTGCTACTCTGTAAACCTGACTTACTTCCTAGTAAACAGACCTACTGTGACTCACTTTTAAGCCATCGTTACACCACCCTCCAACAAGGTCGCGTGTTACTACCTTAGTAAAGTTTTTTTTTTTTTTTTCAGTTTTTCAGTTTTTCAGCCTATGTTGAAGATCTGTCATCACACTAGCGCCCGCCAAGCATAGCCAGATTTGTCTCAAGTAAAATAGTTCAATATCCCTTGCAGAATAGATCCATGTGAATACGATTATCCGAGAATGTTTAAGGCTGCGACACTGAAAGTTGTAGATGCTATTGCGCTTGGAGAGGCACCGCGTGACCGCGAGACTCCCCAGTGAACAATAGACTCTGAGCAGAGAAGCGCTTCGTGCATGTACTTTCTGAGTCTGCGAAGCTCACGAGACGGCGACTTGCAAACCAAGCGTTAAGTCGACAAGCTGTAGCATTATATACTAATCTTAAGCCTTAAACGCGCGGCCTAATACTGAGCTAAACTACGGTGTTCTCAATTTACCGAGACGGCCTTGAGAGCCTGTAGCCATTCATTCTTAGAAGTTCTAAGCTGTTCTTCATTATAACGAATGTCCTGCTCTGGCGCCTCTGCTTGGAGACCCTTAATCTCCGCAAGGCGGCGTTATTATGGCGCCGCATTTAAGGATGCCCAGAATTTTTTCACTCACAAGCGCAAAGCCAGGTTATTTGTTCGCTCAAGATAGTAGGCCACCCATAAGTCGCTCGTGGACTACGTTCATCAATTCCACTGCATCACTCATGGGTATGAAATAAGTAGAAGACTCGCGCATACTGTGTTCACATGAACAAAGCTTGTGAAGCGTCCTAAAAATATCTATTCGCGCTAGACTCTTCAGCCTCTCCGGCTACAGATTGACCGTTTCGCTGGAAAGGCGGTATTTACCCCTCCGCCCATCAATGAGCCTTACATTAGGTTTACCCGTTCTGAGAGCTGTACCACGTGTCGTTAGTTCACCCAGCAAGTTCGTTGAAACCGACCGCTTTCCTGCACGGCCCACCGAGTGGCCCCGTTCCAAAAAAAAAAAACTCGTTAGGGTTCCCGCTTAGCGATACACGTGTCACGTACCTATCGGACCGGCAGGTATGTGGCGTGTAAGGGTGGTACGAGTGTACTTTTCACCTTGCCAACTCTCTTGTAGATGAGAGGTGAGTTTGAAGTATTCGTTCAACCAATAATAGCATTAGTCTCCCCCCCCCCCCCAAAACACACAAAAAAAGGAATCCAGAGCTACTGGAAAAAGGTCTTATTGAGGTGCCGGGTGAGTGTTATCGGAAGTAGGTCCGGATTTCGCTAGCGCTGCGATACTTCTCCTGGGTGGCTATTTGCTAATACTGCAAGGAGTCTTGTTTTTAAGAGTATATTACTGATGATTACCGCTGTAAAATACCAGCTTGCTCTTCTTTCGCAGTCGAAGCGATAGAGAGAGACATGTTAAGACTGCAGCGTTCCAGTCCGCTACGGTTCGAAACAGGGGGAGTACCTTTGAACGGAGATTTGAATAAGTTTACGCGTCCTACAGCTTTATTCCTGTATTGCGGCCGCCGCCGTCCGCCCATGATATACAACACGACAATGGCATGACGATTATACAACCGCTGATTGATTGAGAAATATGTGATCTTTTCTACATGAGCCGTTCAAATTGTTTTGAGTCTATTGGTGATAGATTGCTAGAGGCGACCATCTTTAGCTATGGAGGTCTAGAGCATCCTGCTCACTATTGGGCATTTCTGTCTACTCTACTATTTAGAAGCATCACTGGCCTGGAATGTAGGCGATCTGCCTGCAATCATAATGCGAAGAAAGTCTCCCGCTCAGTATCAGTCACAGTACGGGCGTCTTAACGACTCATGACCTTCTTTCGAAAGTCTGCTATATACCGCCCGCGATTCCGGACTGCGGATCCGTCGTAACACATCGACTTAGCAATAGTATGCTTCCACTTCAAGTACCTCCACAGCAAGCCCACACGAAAACATATCTGCCACTTTAACTTGATGTCGGGAACAGCGCTGCTAGACGCTAAGACTCTGCAACACGATAGAGTATACCCCTTTGCAGGCCCCTTTGCAGGGGTTAGGGTCGATTTAGGCATGCCTTTTTTACTAGCGACCGCGAGCGCGAAATTTGGAATAAAGTTACGAGATTGCCAGGTGGAAAAACCGTTCGCGTCGCAATGCAGAGGCGGCAAATACGGATAGGAAT